CAGGGCTGTACGGGGCGCCACCGCACCCTTGCCGCTGTTTTTCGGGACGGCGGCCGCCCCTCGGCCCGGCCTCGGCCCGGCCCGGCGCGGCCATGGCGCTGAGGCGGCTGAGGGACATCCCCGCGCGGCGGGCGCCCCCTGCCGGCCGGCCCGTGCGCGGCGGGGCCCGGCCTGGGCCCGGAGCCGCCTTGGCCCCGCGGGGAACCCCCGAACCCGCCGGGAGAAATAAACGTTTAACAGCGCCTTTTTAAACCCTCCGGGACAGATAAACCCTCTGACACAGCTTTTTAGTGCTAGCGAGTCAGGTGTTGCTTTATTCTTGCTCAAGAGGGGCGTGTGTGTCTGTGTGGCCGACAAAGTTTTCTGGCCTCCACACAAGATGCTGATACAAAACTTCATCAGTTTGTATTTTTTAGCAAACAAAGAGATTAATGTTCACTCATTCCAAATCACACAATTCGTTCATTAATTAGTATTCTGTCCTCTCTTGGTCATGGATTTCTCACTGTTCCTGCTAATTTGTATTTTTAATCTTTTAGTATCTTTTTTCCCCCCAACAGGGATTTTCCAACAAATATCCTGAGTCTTTATCTTCTTCTTTACCTTCTGGTTCCTGAAAAACAACTTTATAGTCCATAAATTCTTCATTTATTGTATCCAGTTTCAACAACACATCACTCTCTCCCAGGTCTTGCTCACATTGAGGCATATCCAAGTTAGCTTAGCAAAACTTAAACTTTCCCAAGTTGTATTCCTCCAATACCTGCTCATGCTAAATTTTGCTAAATTTTGGCTAAAAGTGATTTAACACCTTGCTTATAATTAATACACTGGTTATGATTAAATAAAACAAATTAATTTAAATTAATTAAAACCATTAATTAAAAGAATAGAAAAGTTATATCATTTCCAACAGAAGGACAAGGATCTGGTAGAGCATCATAATCTTTTTAATCTCGAATTTTATGCAGGTATTTGCAGCTGCCTCTGCTTGAGCAAGCTCCATATCTCTGCACGGCTCCCTTCTGCCTCCTGTGAGCGATGATAATATCACTTCTCTGCCTCCCAAGACTGCTGTGAGTAAATGCATTAGAAAATTATTTGGCTGAGCTAGTCTTTCCCTAGTGCTCTAGTATGATTGCTCCTGTAGTTGTGACAGTTGTACAACTGCAGTATTTTATAAAACACCAGGTAGAAGCAGGGGATTCTGCCCCTGCCCTGCTCAGGTGAGACCCCACCTGCAGAGCTGCCCCCAGCTCGGGGGGCCCAGCACAGGAAGGATATGGAGCTGTTGGATGAGTCCAGAGGAGATCACCACAGTGATCAGGAACGGAGCAACTCTGCTATGAGGAAAGGCTGAGAGAATTTGGATTGTTCAACCTGGAAAAGGGAATGCTTTGGGGTCACCTGATTCCCTTACCTGAAGGGAGATGACAAGAAAGGTGAAGAGAGACATTTCACAAGAACATGTAGTGACAGGACAAGGCAGAATGGCTTCAAACCGACAGAGAGGAGGTTTAATTTTGACACCAGAAAAAAAATTGTTTACTGTGAGGGTGCTGAGGCCCTGACACAGGATGCCCAGAGTTGTGGGTGCCCCATCCCTGGAAATTCTCAATGCCAGGTTGGATGGGACTTGGAGCAACCTGGTCTAGTGCAACCATGACAGGGGTGTGGAACAAAACGATCTTTAAGGTCCCTTCCAATCCAGGCCATTCTATAATCTCATGATTCCATGATCTGCTGTGACTCTCTCTTTGTGCACACTGCTGCAGGAATTACACATGGTGGTGTTGATATGCTCAACCATATACCTATACCCAACTCTGAAAGTTGTTTCTGGAACTTTTGCGTTCCCCGTTTAGTGGCTGCAATTTAAAAATCCACATTTGTAGTGCACGGTATGCTGTCAAAGCTGAGATCTGCAGGATCTGAGCAATTTTGTGACTGCTGCAGGATGGCATTTCAGTTTCCACGGAAACTGGCACAAAAATCAAGGTGAAGTGTTGGCTGATTATCTAATAATAAAACTGAGCATTTAAATATGAAGTTCTTCACCTTCCTTTTGCTGAGAAAACTTCTGTTCCTACAGCAAATGCGATAGAGGCCTCGTGTCTTCAAACTGTGGTCACAGCTTGGGCTGTGTAATCTCCTTTCCAGACATGAAAGACAAAATTTAGCCTTGACACATTCAATCATGAAGCCTTGTCCTCTGCTTTTAAGATAAAAGGCTGATTTGTCCCCACAATTACTGAACAAACCAACACCATTTTTTATATGACAAATTACAGAGTAACAGAAGTTCTTTTGCTTTACTGTGTGTTTTTCTACTGTGCATTTCCAGAACCTCTCTGTGCTCAAATGCATTTCCTTGTAAATAATTCTCATTGCATACACTTTTTATCTGCCCACACTCTTGCTTATCACCTGAATTTAACGCTCTTTGGCTTTGCACTCACTGACTCTTGTTTTGAGTCAGTGAGTTTGATCGTTTTGCTGAACATTCCTTTTTTCAGGTCATTGATTTCTAAGGTTAACAAAATGAATCCTCCTACTGATCCTTGCTATGTCCCACTAATCTCATTGCTATATCCTGAACTGCTCAATTACCTCTTGTCTTCAATTTCAGTTGCATTTAACAAACCCACAGATCAGTCTTTTGTGCAGGAAGCACTTTCATATTGGATTCAAGAACATATTTGTGCGAATATTTCTCATACTTATATTTCAATTTGCTAAGGATGTTTAAATTTTCTTGGTTAATTTGCTTCTTGACATACCTTTTTAAGAGTGCTTTCTCCACGGCTTATTTTTTGCCAGAGACATCTTTCTTTCTAACCTCTATTCTTTCCTGCTCCTGAAGAAGTATCTTCCAGTATTTGATAGTGTTGAATTTCTACTTTGCAGCATTTTATCTTTTCTATCCTCCTGAATCATTTGACTCCTTTGCCATCCTTTCTTCACTCTAGGCAGAGAGTAAGAGCCAATATTCTTCTGAAGGACATTTGCTCTGTTTTTCTCAATAGGAAACTGGGGATTTTCTTAGGCCTGTCTTTTGTGCCTCTAAATCCATGTCCCACTTTTTTTGATGGGGAGTTGATACCTACTTTGCCAGGTTTGGCATGATCAGTTGTATCTTGGCTCAGACATGTTGAGGAGAACAGAAATGCAAAAACCCAAAGTAGCAAAGTTCATGGCCTAACCCCCATGACACTCTTTGGATCACCTGGGTATTAATTCAAAAGGGGGCTAAGCATAAGCCTTATTCCTTCCATATGATCTGTTTCAAACTCAGATGATCCAGTTTCATGTATCTATAACTGAGTCTGCTCTCCCAGATATTGTCTTTGCTAGCAGTACAATATGGAGAAGAAAGGGCTTTTTACACATTCATTAACATGTCAAGGGGTTGTCTTTAAGTGCATTACAACAGCAAGGGCCACATGTCTTTCACAAATGTAATAAAAGAAGCCCAAACTAAATTCTGGCTGTAGAAACTCCTGTGCAGTCTGTCCCAAGACTCTGTCACTCTGAACTGCATTTGCATATCAGAAATCTCTTCTTTCCAGTGCCCAAGGACCCTGCAGCCATTTACAAACCCCACTGACATCCCAGAACAAGTCACTGCCTTTGGCAGTGGCTCAGAGGGCTAGGATCTCAGGAATAAACAATAAAACTGAAGCTCTCAGGCACAGTGGCTTCTTTGCTAAAGAGAGGCACATTCTTAGCAGTAACTGAATATGGCTGAAGATAAGAGTTTGATACCAGAGCATTGAGAAAGAATACAAAGGACACCACTCCTGATCAACATGCTTGCTTAGAAATACCATTTGTCTTTGGAAGAAAAGCTGAAAGAAGTTCTGCTCTGGAAGGGACCTTTTGACAAAAACTTGGGTTTATAGGATTTGTTATCTTATATGGTCCTATTCTAATTTAAATGTATCAGGTTAATTAAGGGTCATGTAATTTCTTTCACAGAAGAGCTGAAGCTCTGGGTTCCTCTGAGGAAGCACAGAGGTCAAACATGTGAGATGAGTACCCCAAAAACCTCATGGTAAGTCCCCTCACATTCAGAAAATTGCCTTCCAATCATTTGAGAAACTATGAAAAAACCCAAGCCCACAATACCCACAATACCAATGCTTTAAGCAGAGGTGGGGAGGGTGTGTCACATTTAAAAAAAGAAGTGGACACAAAGGCACTTCTGTTTAAAAGCTTCCAGGGTACTCTGAAATTCCAGCGAGCAAAGCCTGGCTGAGCAGGAAAGTAGGTGATAGTCTGCAACAGGCATGGAGTTTATACAACCTTGAACATTGACTAGGAATTTCAATTAAATATGTATTGCTGAACAGCTTTGAGCTACTGGTTGTTGCATTTCTTGGAAGAGGACCTTTGATGGCTAATTGGGGAGTAATATGAGATAAAAAAGATGCATAAATAGCCTAAAAAAAAAAAAAAGGCTACTTTTACAGATTAGAGTCATGTTCTATTTTAGAACGTGTTGGACGTGTGGAGGTATCTGCAGGACCAAAATACTGCTAACAGGTGAGTATGTCACCACCACTGCAGTCTGACAGAAGTCCATTAGCTTAAAAAGGGGTCTTTTAAGACAGGAAAAAAGACAACATAATTAGGTAGTCTGGTTCATTGGAAACACCTCCTCTGTTTTCAACCTGGACACATCAGGTCCTTGATAGAAGAAATACACATTCAACAGTATTTTGGGTGACTTCAATTTCCAGTAATATTGTTGTACATAGGAAAGGAGGTATGTTTGTCTTAGGCAATTTTGTCTTCAAAACAGACATCAGAAGAAACAGAAATTACAAGAGGTAGTGAATTTAGCAAACCTGCACATAAAACAATCATAAGAATAAAATGCTGCATTTACAGCTGTAAATGTACACACCTGTATAAGTTAAAAATATAAAGCTACTTTTACTGTGTTGCTTGTTCCTTTTAAGTTCAGAGAATGAAGAATTCAAGTGCTGGACCTAAAGTGGTGAACCTCATTGCATTGGCAAAACCAAACCATTCATGCAGCACCAGGATTTTGACTTAACCTAAGTGAGAAAGTTAGACAGTTAGTGCAACCAAAGTGCAATTGTGTTCTTCACAGTGTGTACATTTTGACTGGCTTGTAAAGTGGATGTAGAAGTTCATGGCTCTCCCAGGCAGCTTCTTTTGATGGTTGAAGTAAACATGATCTGCAACATACTGGGCCACAGCCTGACTTGGAATGATTAGACCAGTGCTCATCAGACAGTGGAGAAAAGTCAAAGTCAGCTACCTGGCAAAGGAACAGCACAAAGATAAGTTTTAGTTCAGTTCCCACTGGCTCAAGTCCAGCAAGAACACATTGGGTTGCAAATGGCACTTGGTCCTCAACCATTTTCACTCAGTCACTAACTTTAAATAGACTTCTGATTTATACCTGCTGTGCACATGGCTTATAGGCAGTGTCTCCAGAGATATATAACTTATATTGTGGCACAGTGTAAAGGGTATTAGGTACTTTCCAAAGCTACTTTAAAAAGCTTTATGAAAGCTACTTTTGATTTAAGAACTCATGCTTATTGCAAACACTTTTTATAGCAAGTGAAAATATATTAGAGATGGAAGGGAGCTGGAGAGGTGAAGGCCACGTACAAGGGGTAGGTAACAATTTAGGACTGCTTTAGGTAAACAAACCCCTCCTTTTTATTATCCTGTAACCTCTTGCACTGTCTCCTTTCTTTCATGTAACTACTCTGAGGTGTATCCTCTGGAATGGATATTTCAATGCAAGCATCTGCTTGGGAATATTAACAAACTCCCCATTATTATTCTGGTAATTTAGAGTTCTCTGCAACAAGCCAGAAGCATGGCTATTTCTTCTATTTGCCTACATTTCTTGGATGTTTTCATGGAACAGATCACACATACTAGGGAAATTCTCCTTCCCGTTTGTTTTTCTGGGGATTAAAGAACCTTTCATATCAGATACCTTTCATGGCTGAAAGCTAGTTAATTACTATCCCAGCTCAAAGTAAGAGTAACTGAATACCTCCACAAGATCTTTTTGTTGTGTGTTACTTCGAAAAGTTGTGTACAGCACCAGGACCAGCATCACTGAAACCAGAGCAGTGCAGAGCAGGACAAAGAAAGCTGGGTGGATTCCTAGGAAAAAGCACAAAGACACATTCCTGGAATGACACAATAATCCAGAAAGAGGCAACAGTGAGAACGAAACAATGAAGAAATTTTAGGAGTATTTTTTGAAAAAAGAAGGAATGTGTGTAAGAAGGAATAAACTTTTCAGCCCTGATCACTCCAGGTTTTTTTGGAATCTCAGGAGTGGGAGAGGGGCTTGTAAGAGTCTTTCCCTTTATGCCCTTTTTTCTCTTGAAGAGCTTAAAAACCTCCACCTAGTTATGTATGTTAGTATCTCTGTGGTACCTCAAGAAGATGGGAAGCACTCTCACTTCCGCAGCAGCCCAGAGTCTCCAGCACAGAGGATTCAGCCCTGAATGCACACCAGTGCCTTCTGGAGTGAACTGTCTTGTCTGTACTCAGCTGGCTCACAATGACATGGTGTGATCAGTCTGTGTCACAGCCTGGCTGTCCCCTGTCCTCTTCACTTGGCCACCTAAACACTCTCCCAGATGGTTTAGGGACCCAGGAGGGGCATTGACCATGCATGGGGGAGCCAGCTGGGGTCACCGACAGGGGAGACAGAGACTTGTAATGAAATGGAGGCCTAGAAAAATCTACCCTCAAAAATCCATAACTAAACTAAGCAAAAAGAATTGAGACTGCTTAATTAAGTTGGTGTTACACATATGTTTTCCTAGTTATCCTCTCTAACTACAAAAGCTGGACTATTTAAAAGGAAAAATATTTCATTTAAGTAATACAGCCTTCCCAGTGTACTTAGTATCTTCAAGACACTCTTGCGACTAAGAGTTCAGCAGAACACAAGAAGCTCAGAGCAATTACAGCAGGCACATTATAAATTCTCATTCCCCTTTTTATTCCTCTCCTTTTAGTGATCTACACCACATTTCTGAAACCTCATCTGCAGGCTGGATAGTCCACGTTCGTCCCTAACCTGTTTGGGACTCTCCGTGCTGCTCAGACTCCCTGGCTCTCACCTGCCGGCCGCACTTGGATCCCGTGGTACGTCTGCAGCGCTGTCACGCCGTTCTCCACCCTGACGCTGAGGCAATACTGTCCCGCGTCCCTGAAGGTGTGGCTGAGGTTGTAGCAGGAGCCACTGATCTCCACCAGATGGCATTTGTCACCTTCAAGTGGAATGCACTCGGATTTTATAAGCCAGCATAATGACAGTGGTGGGCTGAAACGACAAGAGCAAAAAGGTAAAATAAAAAATTAGGCGAAAACTTTCCAAAAGTTTCAGCAAAGAGCTTGGTTAAAATAGCAGAATAATTTTGAAATGAATGAAGTTAATTTAAATATAAATAAAGAAATAAGCAACTACACTGTTTGGTTTATAGCATATACCAAATAAAAAAGTTCTTTGTGATGCTTCTATAAAGGCAGGTCTTTCAGCTGAGAACTGAATACCTGCAAGGGTCATCAGGCCACTGTGTGTAGAAAATTCCTTAGTCCTTCTTCAATAAAGATTAAAGGAATATTTTTTCCTCCACTTCCAAGGGAAGGTAGTTTTTTCTTTGTCCTCACACAGAAATCACTGTACCACTGAAGCACACCAAAGACTGTTCTAATTAAAAAAACCCTGAAAATGAAACTGGAAAGAATATAAGATGAGCTCTGCACAAAGGACTAATAACTGAAAAATGTAAGTAAATTTCAAGTATTACAGCAATCCCTTACATTAACAAAAGGGGTTTTATTTGTTAGCAAGCAATTTAGTGCAATCCACTTCATTGCCATGTGGCTTCTCACCACATCTAATTGAAAGCTTTTATTTACCTTTCCAGATCCCTGCTTCAACTGATTCTTCTTGAACTCACTTTATGCACTATGGACTTTGATTCTGACAACAGACAGAGCTTTTCTTTACCCTATTTTATCAGTATTTTGTTTCTTATCTCTTTACGACATTCTTTGCTAAAGAAAACATCTTGTTTATGTGTTTAGCTCATTTTCTAGCTTTGTTTTTGATAATCCATCTCTTTGTCACAGCATCTTTATCTTAAACTCCTCTTGCATTAGTCCTGTGACTAGGAGGTCACCATGCCTACTCTTAGTGATCTCAGGTTTGCCTGTCATAGTTTTTGGCTGTTCACATTTACTGGGATGCCATCTCCAGTTCCCATTCCTGCCAATGTGCCTTTCACTTTCTGAATGCAAACGGTGCTGCTTTGTATGTTGGGACTGTTTATGCCTTTGGTAAATATTTGGGTGCTGCTACCTCCAAAACTCCAATGTGTTCTAATATTGTGACTTGAGAGAGCTTGTGCTAGGATTGAGGTGCTCACAACTCTCCTCTTTTTCATTGATACTTGCTGCATGAGGATTCTATGTCACATTCATCTTGTGGAAACCTGAACTTTGCCAGAATTGCTCCCCAAACCTATTAATCCCCTATGGGCAGTCAAGCTTTGCTGCTGTGCAACAAGGTTTGGAATATATTTCAATGTAATAGCAGGGAAATTGGTGAAGGAGAAAAGTTCAGAAAGATTTCATATGTATTTTTCCCCACTGTTTCTCTGTCTACTTGTCTTTTAACATTTCCTTTACAAAGACTGAAAAAATATAATATTTGCTTTACATAGGAGGAGTCTACTTTTCTGTAAAGATGCAGGGTCTTTCAGGCTCTTAGAGCTCATTGCATTTCAAGTCAGGAAAATGCAATATTCAACCGTAGTTTTTGGGGGGAAGGAGGTGGTTTTGTTTTTTTCAAATAGTTGTTCTGCGGGGTTCAACTGACTATTTTTAGGAAACACTGGGGAAAAATACTTAAAGAGACAATTTTGGGGGGAGAAAGAAGTTGTGTTTGCTACTCACGTGCCATTGATATGAAGGGATAAATTCAAATTTTCCATTACATGAGTCTCTCTGGAGCCCACTATGTTAATACTTCTAACAGCATCTGAGAAGAAAGGAAAAACCAGCATGTCACACTCCACATGTAAACTTGAGTTTTACTGGTTTCCCAGTGAAGGTTTGTTTCCACAGACTTGCAGATTTGAGCTTTGTCAATCACACAAATAATACTGTTTGACACCCCAAAAGGAAACCTATCACTAGAGATGTAGTAAGTTTTCTGACTTTTCGTCTGATTGCTTTTTAGTATGTATAATCAGCTTTATTAATTCTTTAAATTTTTAATTCTGTGTTTATTTACTCCTGAAGCTGATCAAATCAATGAGACTTTCCTAATGCTTTAACTAATTTAACTAATGATTTAACTAATTTATTGTTTAGGGATAGCTGGTAAAAATTGAACAAACAAATCCACCATAAGTTACCATAAATACTTTATTGTTTGAATTGAATGTGAGGCTTTTACAAAAGACTGTAAAATTGTCTGTAGATTAAAAAGAAACTGAAGATTTTATCTGTTTCCACCCATTTTTCTGCCCTAGAAGAGCACGAGTCAATTCTGCAACGGAAACACTTCACTGAATGATGTTGTCCAGTCACTGCATGCGAAACAATGTTGAAGTTGTGTTACCATGTCAAAGCTAGATTGTATCGGTACATTCAGGGCTAGTTCTGCATTGAAAGTGGAAAATGTTTCATAATTACCCAAGAGCTCCAGAGCTGTAGTAAAATCACCAGTTTTCTGCATAATTTCTCTTTCGTGTATGATGCTTCCAATTTGCTCCCATTCAGCCACGACCTTCAGATGCACTGTCCGATTCCCCAAGGAGGAGCAGTTGCAGTAGACAAAGGGTTCCTTGGTAATCTGGTAAACTCTGTGTGCAACAGGAAAAGGTTTGGAATCAAAAATGCCTTTTACCGAGTGCTTGCATACTTCTGGTTTAAAAAGGGACAAGCTCTAATATATTTTCTTTACAGACAATGCTCCAGTGGCTGTGAGTCTAATTCTACTTAATGTCCATATAAATGAGGATTTATGTCAGTGGTATTACTTATAGAACTACAATTAGTACAAGATTCAGAGTAAATCTCTCCATTTTTAATTAAAGAAACTAAAGTTAATGCTAAAAGAATTCACAAAATTGAATAGGAATAGTCAGTAAATTATGAAAACAACTTTTATAACAGGCAGACAAATTTAATTGGGATTTTTCTCTAGATGAACATCTAAATCAGAGCCATCTTGAATACTCATTAAAGCAAACAAATAAGCACACCTACCCATCTCCAAAATCCCAGTTGTAGACGAATGATGCTGTCTTGAAGTAATGACTTGGGTCATGAAGAGAGAAAGAAATCCGGGTCACTGTGTCCATGGAGGAACTAGGACCATGTGTGGTAACTCTGCTGTCTTCTATCTGGGCAATGGTGAGGTTCCCTGTGATAAATTCTGAAGAATAAAAAGGGGGAAGAAGAATGGCAACATATGTGACAGAAGAATGACAGCATGTATGACAGCATATATGACAGAGGAATGATAGCATGCTTCCACAGCATGCTGTGTGTGTGTATGAAAGCATTCTTTCAGATGTATTCTGACAGTCTTTCTGTGTCCTAGTCCAAGTGGTTTAGTGTATTTTATATTTATTACTCAGTGTTGTTATGTGTGTGAATGAGGCAGTGAAATGAAAATATTTATTTAGGGTTATACGATGGGTCATGATAAAATATCCAGTAGAAGTAAAGGAAATAATCCTGGACTGATTGAGCTCAATATAAACTTTTACTATTGATTTAAAAATAACCGGTATGAATACCAAGCATCTAGATTCAGAATCAGGTCAGTACACATACTCATCATGTTTGGGATAGTGGTTTTAGTTTGCTTTGTAGGGTTTTTTAATGTAGCTTTTTTCCCCTTAGTTTTAGCTGTTTCTACAGAAATTAAGATATGACTACTGTAAATTACAGATGTGCTATATATTGTGAATACAGAAAGGGGGGAATGTTTTTGTCTATGAGAGGTTCTGTGTTGGGCAATGAGTGGCAAGGACTGATCTAACCTACAAATAAAGAGGTACTATGATGAGACACTTATCAACGCATTATAAAATTAATGAGCTATTGATTGCCTGTAACAGACTCTTACCCTGTTAACAATTCATTAAATCTGGTTAACAGTTTTCTTGGTGATGCACAAATAATAATTGCAATTACTGTTGGAATGTGGCTGTCAATCCCTGTATCAGAGATTAGGTTAACCATACCAGTATTTCCAGAAAACTGAAATTGCAGTTAGCAACATTTAGAAATGCAGCCATGACTTCACATCCAATTTCAGTACACTCGGACAGAGCTTTAGAAGAAAATGTAACCCTCTGTTGTGCTGATGGCCTAAGATTTGCTGTGTCATGCAACAGGGAAAAGCAGCAGATTGTCACTGCTGATGGTCATCCCACTTTAGATCAAGAAATGCTGGGAGGCAGTAGAAGAACCATTATTTTTGGAGTCTGGGCATCACTGGCCCATGCTGATGTGTCAACTGCAGCTGCTGAAACATCTGGTTTCCAGTTCAGTGTCTCTAAGTGACAGAAGCAGGAAAACACAGACAGCATCACACTTTCTTCCTGGATGTAGAGAGACTAGAGTGTGGCTGTAATGGTACAAATTGCACCATGCAACCCAAACCCACCTTCAGCCACAGGGCTAATCAAATTCTGTTGCCAGAAGCCATATTTACACTGTCTTTTTCCCTGATGCTAGCAAGGGCATATATTATACTGAGTTCCTGGAGAGGTACAGGTTGTAAAGCCATTTTACCTGTAATCTGAAGCACGGTGTTGTTTCTTACAACTGGCTGACACAACCAGCAGTTTTTGTGAGTCACCCAGACAGACACAGGGAAAGTACCAGGAAATTCACCAGTCACATTAATTACAGAATTAAATTGCTGCTCAGATTTCTCTATCAGAATCAGAGGAGCATAAATCCAGTTAAAGTGATACAAGTTTGATGTGGCATTTTCATTCTTCATTCTTAGGCTGGCCTGAACAGTAGCTTGAGCTCCCGTTGTGATGGGACCATTGTTGGTTATTTCCAGACTATACAACTCTGTGGAAATCAGAAGGAAATGAATAAACCAAACCTTGTTGTATAGAATTTTAAATTTCATTTATTTATTTATACATTTTAACTAGTCAGCTCTAGTTACGTGACTCACAGTGACACTCATCCCAGCAAAGACTTTACCACTGTGATTTTTTACCATTTAAATATCTGGAACAGAAACTGTTGTATGTGTATATGAGTTCAAATAAATAGCAGTAAGCAACATGTCAGACTGGGTCCTAGAAATGTTCATAGTATAAAACAGCTTCAGTCTAGAATATCACAAAAGCTTTGATGAGGCTTTACACCCAGAGGTGGGTGCTGGCTAGAGGTTTATTGTCACTAATGATCTAGCATGATCACTAGACTTCCAGCTACAGGAAGATGCTCAGCTCTAATCTCTGTCTTTAAAAATGTAAACTTTCAAACTCAGGTGGATTTTCATTCACTAGACTCCTTTACCAGCTCTGTTGAAAAGTTTCTCTAACTTTCCTCATAAGTAAACACAAAAATACTCAGTAAAAGCATTTTCTGTGCTATGGTCCACCTTGAATTTCCTTTTCCAGGAAAGGACCAAAAATCCCAAGGCAAATTAAAGCTGTACCATGCTCTAGTGGATGATCAGTTGCAGTCCAGAGGGGCCTGGACAAGTTCAAAAAGTGGGCCCATGGTAACCTTGTGGGGTTGAACAATCTTGAGTGCAAGGTGCTGCATCTGGATTGGGACAACCCCTGCTATTCAGGACAGGATGGGGGATGAAGGGATAGAGAAGGACTTGGGGGTACTGAGGATGAAAATCTGAACTTGAGCCAACAATGTGCACCCAAGAAAGATATGAGTCTTCACAAAAATCAGTCAGCAGGTTGAGGGAGGTGATGTTTCACAATGAGGGTGGTGAAACACTGGTTTACACCGGTTGCCCAGTATAAACATTCAAGGTCAGGTTGGATTGGGCTCTGAGCTGCCTGATCTAGTTGAAGATGTCTCTGCTCATAGCTGGGGGTTGAACTAGGTGCACTTTAAATGTCCCTTCCAACCCAAACTGTGCTATGATTCTTCAAGACATCAAGACATGAGAGGTGCAGGACCTGTGACACTGAACCAGTTCTGCTGCTCTGGATGACTCACCATAATCTTCTCTGCCATGTTTATTCAAATTACTTATTTCAGATCTTGAAACTACTGAAATAGGCAGTGTTGAGTTTTGTGGAAAAGATGCATTAAATTTTTTTAAAAAATAGCAGTGCAGCAGCATTAAAAGATGTGTATGTGTTAAACTACAAAATCAACCCCCAAGCCCCAAAATAAATGGAAATGCAAAATAGCTATGAATTTGGACAGAGCTGGGAACAGGATCTGGTTGCTTGCCTCCAACATGGAGCATGTTCCCTTATCAGAGCTCTGCCTGATCTCCTCTCATCAGCAGTGCTGGGCAGAGCAGCAGAACTGTGGGATTCTAATGCAGGTGCCTTTCCTTATCCTCCCTTTCAGCAGCCACAAGACTGCTACCAGGGACTTGAATCTTTGACCTTTAGAAACTGCATTTCTCACTCATCCATGACCTCTAATATGAAGCGAGCATTGGGGCCAGCTAACTCCTGTCATGGCTTTTCTGCACCCTTCAGCTTGGGGTGGGATGAAAGGGATGGCATTTGTGCCTGCATTTTATTTTACAGATCACAGGTGCTGAACAATTCTAGAGGCAGAAGAACAGTGAGAAATTAACTGTAACACTACTAGCTGAGAAAGAGCTCCACTGTTCCCATTTCGCAGCACAACAAATGGCCCTGAGTTCAGTTTTTTGAGTTAAAAGAGAAATGCTTGTGATTTGATGAAATCTGGCAGGGGGAGGTTTCATGTCTCTAGAAGATTCAGGCTGTGCTCCACTCGGAATTCGGGCAAAAAATAGCTGACTACCTCATGCTTATCTAGCACTTCTCCTTGGAGGTTATCACAGTGTTTTACAAATCAGGGCCATACCGGCCCGACAGCTGCAGCAGCTGGAGGTTCAGTGGCTAACCCAAGGTCACCCAGGGACTGACCGGCACAAGAAGACACTCCATCCAGGGATGAATCCCGAATCCAATTCAGGGATTTCTCCTGCCTTTACGACCCCTCTCTGCAGAATGGAGCTCTGTGAGTCCCACAGCGAGGGACAGCAGCTGCCCAAGTGCCCCGTGACCCGCGGTGCGGGGTCAGAGGAAGCAGAAGTGCAGCTTTTGGGTTGGAAGTGCAAAGCAGACCCCCCGCTGCCCGGGATACCCCACCTTCACTGCAGGCACAAAGATCGCAGCGCCTGAGAATAAAGTCTGGGGTGGTGGGAGCGTGCTTCCATCCCTCGTCACATCTATCAGGCTCGGGCAGGGAACCACCCCCACTCGTGATGCAGCTCACTCCTGAGGTCTGAGCCCTCGCCCCCGCACCCTGCGCCCCTCTCCCGCTCCCCTGCGGCGATGCCAGCGCAGACCGGCGGCCCCTTACCTGCGGCCGGGGAGAGACCCTGGCCGAGCTGCATCAGCAGCAGCAGGAGCAGCGCGCAGAACAGCCACCGCATGCTGTTCTCGGTGCCGCCGGGGCCGGCTCTGGAAGCGGGACCGGGTCTGGCCGCACTGGGGCCGCGCTGCCCCCGCGGCACTGCGGCTCCTGCGCCGCGCCCCCGGGACGCTCCCCCGCGGCAGCGCCCAGCCCGCCTCTCCCGGGGGCAGTTCCTGCGGGATCGCGCTGCCAGCGCCACCGGGCTGCAAAGCCGCCGCCGGTGTAAACAAATAGTCAATGAAAACCACAAATGCCTCGCATCTGCCGAGGGAGCGAGGTCACCCCGGAGCGTTCGGGAAGGGGTTTGTGCTGCTCTTTGGTTGCGACAAGCACATATAAAGTATTTCTGCGGTGGCGCGGGGATGCCTCTGCCAGGGGCAGTTCGGCTGCTGTTACCGGTTCCGAAGCGCTCGGAACGGCCTGTAACGGGTGCGCTGCTGGAGAGAAGCGAGAGCGAAACCGCCGGAATGTGGTTTTCTGGTGTTCTTTTTTTTTGTCGTTTTATTTTGTTTTTTCCTGTTTTGTTTTTTATATTTTGGTTTTAATTCGTTTACTTTTATTTTTTTAATTTTCTTAAACTC